TTTGCTGAGATGTTCTACAATCACTCTTGGTACAACTGGCTCATAATCAACATTGTCATTTTATGCTCAATGCTATTTCCAGCTTTGGGGCTCTCCCAAAACATCCTACTAGGACAGTTCCCATTCCTATCACTTGTTATTATCATTTTTGTGTCCTATTATGTTTAAAGAACTTTTCTTTCTGAAATAATTATTTGAAAACATTTATGGTAAGAATGATTTTAAAGCTGCAATTAAATTACCATGGAATGACTGTATTAATAGTTATCTGAGATCTACCAAGGATATCTGGCAATTGTGGCATATCATAAATAAAAGAAAGGATTTTTTGAAAAAAGAAATAAGGAGTATTCACTGTGGTGTGTTGTCTTTAACTCTTTAAACCAACAAAAGTAATTGAAGGTCAAATGCAACTTTTTCTTTTAGTTTTTAAATAAATCTCCATACTAATTTCCAGAGTGGTTATATCAGTTTGGGTTTCAATAAAAATGGAGAAGTGTTTCTTTTTCCCCACCACCTGGCCATAAAATTTTTCTTGGTTGATATCTTAATGGTAGCTATCCTTTATGAATTGAGGTGGAATCTCAGTGTTTTTTAATTTTCATTTTGTCCAGTCATGTTGAACATTTTTCATATATTTATTGTATTCAATAATACAGAATCTATACTACAAAGCTACTGGGATAAAATCAGCAGGTTACTCAAAAAGAAAAAACAGACCTAAAGAGGAATAGAATAGATTATAAGATACAAATACAACTAAAGCACATTCAGCCACCTTATCTTCGACAGAGGGACCAAACAAGCTCACTGCATGAAAAACAGCCTCCTTAATAAGTGGTGCAAAACAAAGTGGCTTACCACACATATCAAAAACTAAAACTAGTTTCATGTCTATCAACATGCACTAAAGTAAAGTTAAAATGAATCAAAGATCTAAATATTAAAACAGAAACACTAAATCTGCTGGATGACAAAGTAGGTAGATCTTGAAGACATAGGAGTAGGTAAAGAGTTCATGAACAAGAATCTAATTGCAGGGGAAATGTTTCCCAGAATCAATAACTGGGATCTAATTTTATTAGAAGATTTTTGTCATGACCAAAGAAATCTGCTTCCACATTACAAATCGGTCCTCCAGTTCAGATAATCTACCCTTAGTTTCTTTCAAACTGTTATGCCAGCTTTCAACAGAGTTTTTAGTTTCCTGGTAATTTCTTTGAACCTGCTTCACATATTCTATGTTTTCTCTATTTTCTACATCAAACAATTCTCCCCTTTTTATCTGTTCTTCCATTCCACCATTTGCTTTTTCTTTGGTGGTGCTTAGCATTTCTCTAACTATTCTACTTATATCTTGCTTTACTTCATTAAATTTCATGCTTTACTTCATTAAACTTCACTTTTGAACTCATCTATGAGGCTCTGGAGATATCAATTTATGTCTATTGGTGCCATGTCTGATATTGCATGTTTTCTGTCCTCATTCTCCTTTCCATTTACCTTTCCTGGATCAGTGTTCTCAGGATTGGGGACCGAGGGCCCTTTCTTGTTGCCTCCTCTTCTCATATTTTTTGTTCCTTCTATACAGGCATATATAGGAGGCCCAGTCTCTTTCTTTGTGGGTTACAGTTTGTTTGAATTGCGCCGGCTAGGTGTTCCCACCCACTGCAGTGTACTAGGGAGACAAAGACCAGGGAAGCCTCTGCTGGGCCTGCCCCCCAGGTCAATCTACTGAAGGCTTCACTGCTAAGGTGAACCGCCAAGTGCTGGGACCTGGTTTAGGCTAGCCTACTGTGTCTTAGTCCATGGCATCACCAAGGTCAGGCACTCCCCACCAATCCTGATTGAGAGGGGAATATGTGACTGAAGTCACTGCAGTGTCCTGTTCTGGCTAGTCTGCCAGTCCCAGAATGTCCTCTGTTGGAGCTCCTTATCTATGGAAGGGTCTCTGTTCATCTCACTCACCATAGATCGATGCAGGACTCCCTACCACTTCCACTCTCAATTCAGTTCACCAATTCCTGCTCTCAGAGCTTTCAAGTCTCTATCCCTGCTGTGCCAATTCAAATGCAGCAGCAGCAGCAGGAAATTCAAATTTTGTTTTCCAGAGTTGTGGGTTCCAGCTTCCGCACTGAGATTTTATCTGTCCCAGTCATAGCACCGGGATTGCATTTCCATTTGGATTCTGTCAGCTTAGTTCTTTCCTGGGTCACCAAAGAATATCACCCCCTGCTTAGAACTTCCCACACCACACCATACCTGGATTCTAAGTTGGCTATCTCACAATGCCTCCATAGCTGTTGTTATCTATCTGCCATATTCTCTTTGGAGGACAGATTTGTAATGTGGGAGAATGAAATGAAAAAACTTCTTAAAAATAACAAGGAAACAAACAGCAATAATGCAAAGGCTAGAAGATAATAAGAGGATCTATAACTTAAGAACATAGGGGTTAGGGCTTTAGCTCAGTGGCATAAGCATCTGCCTTGCAAGCAGGCTGTCATGAGTTCATTCCCCAATACCAATAAAAAGGTAAAAAAAAAAGAATTAAGAACATAAGGAAGAAGTAGGGACACAAACAAATGAACTACAAAGGATATTCACAGAAATAATCCAGGAGAATTTCCCTAATTTAGCAAAAGGTAAAGATACTCAGATGTGTGAGGCATACAAGACCCCAGCCACCTACCACCCAAACAGAGCTACACCCAGGCATATAATAATCAAAATTCCAGAAATCCAATATAGGAACAGAATATTAAAAGCCATCAGAGACCAAAAAAAAAAAAAAAAAACAGATCACTTACAAGGGAATACTCATCAGAATTACAGCAGACTTCTCGGCACAAACCATCAAATCATGAAGAGCATGGGGTAAAATAATTCAAGCTTTGAAAGGTAATAATCTCCAGCCAAGATTGATATATCCTGCACAACTGTCTCTAGAAATTAATGGAGAAACAATGTGCTTCCAGGACAAAGAGGAAGTAGGGGAATTTGCAATCACCAATTCAGTTCCACAGAGAATACTGCAGGACATTCTAAAAGAGAAAAATAACAAGATTCCAAAAACAGTAACAGAGAGGCCACAATAAATGGAATAGGAAGCGAGATGAAGAAGACAAACTGACAACTAATGACAGAAAAAGAGCTCAACAGAAGTGAAGCAGACAAGGTTAGATATAATTTCTAATATAGGTGGCCTAGATACCCTAACTTCAGGGAAAAAACAGAGAATAGAAAGCAGAGTGGATCAAGAGATAGGATCCACTGAGAGCCTCTTTAGAGGAAATATAATTAGCCTGAAGAAGGTTATATGGACCAAAATCAAACATGAGAAAATGGAACTCGATGTGAAGGCAACCAGAGAGTAATAGGGTTAACTAGACCAGTATATATGGATAGGTTGAACAGACAGACTTTAATAATTGAAGAAATATAACTAGAAATCCAGCCCAGGAGTGAGAAAGTTCAGAAACACTTAAGTAAATAGCAGGTTGCCCACCACAATACAAAACCATTACTGTGGGGAGTCCCAAAAATACACAGTTCATTCCGGGGGAGTAAAAGGGAGTAATAGTCCTCAAAAAAAAAAAAAAAAAAAAACAGCAGAAGATATAGCTAATAGAGTTTCAGGAATTAAAACCCCTATTACTCGTACCACTCTGCTTGGTTGGAACTCGTTCTGTCCTAGTTTGTATACAGGCATTGGATCTGAGGGGCACAGACGGCTGTCCATAGCATAGGGGACATCTTTAGTTCCCTATTAACTCAATCAGGATCCATGTATGACTTATACTATTATATTATGACTGATCTTAGTTAAATATGACTCGTTTGATTGCTGCTTATTATTGACAGTTTTTATTCAAAACCTGTAAGGATGATGGCAACAAGTTGAGGAGTACAGACAACTATACTGAAAATGACAATGATTCACTATGATATCCATTCTGATTTGACTACTACCTGTTTTTGTAGCTCTACACTACCTATAAAGTTGCATTTCTGTTAATTGTTATGTACTGATACGTTCAATTATACTTTATCTGATGTTATAGCCAATTCTGTTGATAACAAGAAACAGCACAGTGACCAGGGTAGAACTCCTTATACAGCAGATATATATGTCTTATTAGTTTTATATGTCTATAGGAAAAAGTTTAGTTCTGTCCTGCTTTGTTATGTTTTTCCTTCTAACATAGAAAGGATAGAAATACATGTTAAGACTCAAGCTTATGTAAAACCTATAAATAGTTTATGAGCACTGATCTGATGACACATGATGAAATGAACAAAAACTTTGAAAGAAAGTGACACTGCAGTACCCAATCCTGATTCCAGAGTGTTATGATGTGAAGTCCAGCAATATTATTAATCTTTGTTCAGAAGGATTTTAATCTAATATGCTCTGTTAGGTCTCAACATAAATGAAGATATGGATAATTGCGTACATGTCTAAGTGTATAGGATTGATAGCCATAATACTTAGTTTTTGTTGGATAGTTGAACAGAACTGTTTGCAGTCTCCCTGGTTGAAATCCCATTTATATGTTTCACTTGTGTACCTTGAACAACTATTTATAGGAGGACAATATGTATACATCAGCTAGTGATTTATTACTATTTCTTTTCTTTGAAAGTATGTACTATTTCTGCCTGTTTTCTATTTTGATTTGTCTTTTTTAAAATAAAAAAAAGAAAAAGAAAATCTGTAACAGACTGAGAAGAAAAGTCACTAATTGATGAAAAGTGCATGTGGTATCTCAGACAGAGTATATTAACAGTACATTAAAGAATGAATGATTAGAGCAATTTTTTATTTTAAAGAGATAAAGACAAAAGAGGATATAACAAAGCAGATCAGATCAGAACAATGCAAGTAACACAGCATTTTAACACAAGACAACCCATAATTAACAGTAGCTACCATAGTGTCTCTGAGTAGAGCAATCTGATTTGAGAAGGAATTGTGAGAGGTGAGCTGTGAGCCCTCTTTAAAGGATGGGGTGTGTTGGCAGCACATATTTTACCAAGACCCTCCACAAAGCCCCCAGGACCTCTTTCTTCCTCAGGCTGTAAATCAGGGGGTTCAGTGCTGGGGTGACAATTGTGTAGAAAGCAGAGATGATGTTATCCTGTTGGGGATTATGGAAGGAACTGGGTAGGATGTACATGAATGTTGCTGCCCCATAAAACATCCCTACCACAGTCAGGTGTGAGGAGCAGGTGACAAGTGCTTTCTTCCTGCCCTCCTTTGAGGACATGTGGAGCACAGTGAACAGAATTAATGTGTAAGAAGCAACAATGATAACAAGAGGGGGGATCAGGAAAGTCACACCTGTCACATAAACCATGAGCTCGTATCTGGAGGTGTTTGCACAGGCCAGCTTCAGCAAGGGTAATATCTCACACAGCAGGTGTCTGATTTCCTGGGACTTGCAGAATGGATAGTACATGGTATACAATGTATGTCCTAAAGCATTCAAGGTGGCCAGGACCCAGGATGAGGCCACCATGAACCAGCAGAGTCTAGGCCTCATGAAGATCATGTAGGTAAGAGGATGACAAATGGCCACATACCTGTCGTAGGCCATGAAAGCCAGTAGGAGGTCCTTGGCACCACCCAGTGTCAGGGCCAGGAACATCTGAAGGGCACAGCCTCCAAAGGAGATGGTGTTTTCTCTTTGCAGAAAATCCATGAGGGCCTTGGGAGTAATAACCGATGTGAACAGGAGGTCCATGAGAGAGAGCTGCCCCAGCAGGAGGTACATAGGCACATGGAGCCGGACATCCACTGTGATGACCAGGAGCAACAGGCCATTGCTGATCAGGGCCAACATGAATAGGGCAGTGAGTGTGGCACCCAGCAGTTCAGGAGACCCACTGTCATTCAGGATCCCTACCAAGATGAAGCCACTTCCTAAGGTGGAGTTCCAGAGCTCCATTCTGTTTGGAGCCTTTGTTTAGAACCAGATGGTTTGTCAATGGAATCTCTTCTAAGAAGTTCAGTCTTGCTTTGGGTTGTTCTAGGACACTGCAGAGTGAGTAATGGAAATCCTTTGAATATTTCTTCTATCATGTAGCTGTTTCTTCTGTGTTTCTTAATTTTTTAGTTCTTTTATTGAATTATGATGAGCCAACAGCTAAACAGGAAGCCAGTATCTTAGGAGTTGCTCATTCTTAAGAATTTACTTTACATAAGGTTTCAAGGTTTTCAAGACGATAAGTCCCATAGACATATTTGGATATTTCTTTTAACACATTCTTGTCTTCATTATAAACAGACACGTGGAGAATTGGTTTAACATGTAGGTTTTCTTAAAATCTACTTGAAATAACAGTTTAGGTTTTAGGAACTTATTCATAAGAATGCCTTTGCCATCTTCTCCTGTTTGATGCCCTCCTTCAACAGAGGAATCTTTGGGCCCTTGGGCAATTTGATCGCTTTTACACTTTAACCATCCTCACTTCCTTGCTCTATGGTCTACTATTCTGCTGGAGATAGGATTAATTCTGGATTGTGTCAATAGTTGGGGTGATATAGATCTGAAGGCTAATCAGTAAGAACAGAACAAACATGATTTGCATATTTGAGATCTTGATCATATATTTACACTAGAAGAGGCAAGAAAAAAAGGAAAAAGAGGGAATTATGGATACATGGCTGCCATTGTGCTTAGGATAAATAATAATAAAATGAATAATAAAAATGATAATATTTTTTAAAATGCCAAAGATATTACATTACCTTGGATTCATATTGAAATTTTGATTAATAAAAACTGATTCTTATTTTTTAAATAAATCTAGCAATATGAAAGAGGATGCTGGTCTATTGAGCCATGAATCCATTTGATAGTATTATGAAAAGAAATTGCGGAAGAAAGGACAGATGTATGTGGAGTGCATATCACAACATCCAATTAGCTTGCTCTTTAGGAAGGTTTATTTTTCACATTTAGAAGGGCAACTTAGCAGGTATTGAGAAAAGTAGTCAATTTTTCACCAAATTCTTTAGCTTTCCTTTGTATTTTCCTGACCTAGTCCTCCTATCTTTTATTTATGCTATAATGTAGATCTTCAGAGAGCTGGGAATCATAAAAATCTTATATTGAAAGTCACATGTTATATATCTATTTTTTTTTAGTTTAATTCCTAACATGAGGTTTGTAAACTGCAGATCATGAGTTGCTTTATTGTTTGTATTTAGGGTGTGTAGGTGACGATACTTCTCTGAGGTCTCCTTCAGGTGAAACTGCTTTTTGGATTTGAGTCAGTAGGAAGATCTTACCTCTTCAGTATGTTGGAGATGAGAAGGCGTTGCTTGTTAGGTCCAGTCCCTGGTTCTCTGGCACTGTGCCACAGCGTTTTTTGTGACCCTTATTCAATTTCATTCATGGAATCCAGGACCAATAGCACCAGCCACTGCCCTGTTTCATGTCTGCTGCTCCCCTGCACCACTCTGTCTTTCTGCAGAGGACTGCGGAGTTTCCAGCCATCACCATCACACTGGGTCTGCAGGTTTGAACCACTCCGCTGTTGCAATGAGTCCTGTCTCAGAGCGAAGGCCCAACTGGCCCCCCTCCACAATCTTCTAAAGAGAAATATCAAAGATAAACATACCAGGTCAATTGGACACTGCTAGTGTTTGTGGAAACCTTAACTTAGAGCAAGAATGGTTAGAATAGGTTGAGATTTATAGAAGGGCATTGTTGCACTTCATGGGAAATGGCAAAAAGGATAAAACTAAAATTTTAGAAGCATCTTTTTATCCTCTGTGCTTTACTTAGTGTATTTAAAAGTTTTTCTTGATTTCAGGTGATTTTTTTATGGCATTTTGTGTAACATGGATTTACAGAGAATAATAACTTCAAACAATATTACACAGTTCTCATTTGAGGTACTATATTGTTGGACCCATATCAGACTTTTTTTTAAACAAGATCTCACTATGTAGATGAGCTTGTCCTTGAAACTACTGTGTAATGCAGGCTTGCACTGAACTAAAGTTAATCTTCCTGCTTTGTCCTGGTGAGTCCTGGGATTACAGGTGTGCACCATCGCACTTAACATCAGATTGCTGAAATCTAAGAAAATGTACATACACAAACCTCTAAAGTCTTTTTCTGGGAAGCCTCAGTCAGCAATTCTACAAATTCAGGTGTAGCTCATAGCACAGAATGACTAATAGTCCCTCAATATACAAGACTGGCTCAAGTGCAAGATGCTCAGACTATAGAGAGAAGAAAATGAGCAATAAAACCTGAGGAGAAACAGGATTCAAGAAGAGAGCAGTTTAAGGTTTTAAATCCCTCTGTCAAGACTTACAGACTCTACATACCTCCCCAAAAGATAAGAAGTTCTTACCTCAAAATGTAAATAGCAGAGTTGCCAGACCACATCAATGAATCTGGGACTCAATTCAGGGATGAAAATGGCTGGACACTGAAGCAAGGGGATGTGGTGATTCTGGCAGGATGGGGTGTAGATGGGTGTATGGCTGTGGCTGGGATCAGAGGTGAATTGAAGATTTGATTAGGATCCAGTCACTGTTACTGCCAGTTCATGCTGGTGAAAGAAAGACTGCTGCTGAGAACCTAGAGTAGCATCCTAAGAAAGCAAGATGCAGGCTTCTCAGAAGGTCTATATCCACCCTCCTTGTGAGGAAGAGCTTCATAGCTATGGTGGTGAATCTGTGGGAGATTCGGGATCAGTGTACTCAGATTTTCCTATATTCCTCTCTTGTGGGGTTCATGATAAATACGAACACATCAGGACTTTGGGGAACCAGGTCCTGAAGGAGCAGCTCAAAGGAGAATCACTATTGCCTAACCTCTTCATCCCTGGGGCAGCAGTGAGCCCTGGCCTTGTCCTCGTGTTGTTTCAGGGTTTCCTTCCCTCAAGTGAGCTGACTTCCCCTGAAAATGCTGCTATAGGAAAGTGAATTTTAATGAATCCTTCAGGGAATATCTCTTCCCAAGCTGTTTCTGAAAATCTCTCCCAAGAAATGGGCTCTGAGGCCTAGAGTAGCTCTTGTTGAAGTTGTCCTGGCTAAATTGATGGCATCTGTGAATGACCCCAGATGCAGGGATCTCTGTGTTCAAATTCTAAAGTGAGTCTCATGGCATTTTTAAGAGCTGTTACTCTCCATCTCTCTCTGTGTGATGTAGGGAAAGGTATTTGTAAGCAGGAAAAGATCACACAAAGGCCTCACAGGGCTTTCTACCTAACCCTAAATAGAATGATTTAAAATTTTACTGCAGGGAGCAATTAAAAGGAGAAGCAAAGAACTGACAAGCAGAGCACCAAGGGATTCTGCCAGGTACCCTAAATGAGCTGCCCTTCCCCACCTCCAGGAAAATGCAAAGCAAAAGAAAGATGGAGGAGGCTAACAGTAGAAAACTTATTTTGCATATTAGATATATACTCACATATAATGAAGACACACACCTACACACACATGCAGACACACACACTAAATAAGTACTTTTTTTCTCACTGTAATGTCAATGCATTACTACACTAGATAAAAACCCAACCCTTGACTTAATTATTAACTTGGTTTGTATACAGAACCTTCCTACCAACCTATAATTTCCAAAGATAAGGCCCTGACAAGGACAAGCAGGTGAGAGAAAATCAAACGAAGCCCACCTAGGAATGTCTGTGCAGGCACTGGCTATGATGCCCAAAAAGCCTATCAAGTTGCAACAAGCTCCAGGAGCAAGGTTCCCTATTACTTGATAGTAGGAACTGAGGACAAGGCCCATGGGTTTCTGGTATGGGAACCCTTGCCCACCTCTCACCAGGCAGCTGTCCACTTTATGATTTTTGCTTCTTACAAATAAAGTGCCTTCCCTTTTAAACTCTGTTCCTTTAACTCTCTACTGGTGCTGAGTTTAGAGTCTAGGTTGACTGCGGAGCAGCCCTGTGTGCCCCTAGGTGCAGCAGTGCAGCTGGACTGGACTGTTACCTGCTGATGGGGCTTAAGAGCAAACTTCTGCTGATGTCAGGTCTCTCCTCATTAATTAGGAGCCTGCACTGATTTATTGGATGGATCCATGCGTTTCCAGTTCTTTACTTACTGTTTCTATCCTCTCATGCCTGTGCATAGGCGTTCATGTATCTGCATGCACTGTCACCATGGGCTCATAATCTCTGAGTGCTGGGACAATGTCACAGCACCAGCTTCAGCTATCCCTGCTTCACTTCAGGCTTTTGTCATCACACACCTGGTATTTGTCTTTATCCTCCTAGGGATCAGTTTTTCTTTGTTTTCTAGTTTCACCCGTGCACCCTGAAAACTTGCTGCTGGAATTTACTTTCAACATTAAGGAAACTGAAAATAAGTTGCTATTTTTTTTGATTATAAAAAAAAAGTGCCCAGTAAAATTATTATACAAGTGCAACAGAAAAACATTCTTAACTTTTATTATTATAAAAAGAACTTACACAAAAAGAGACACATTAGATTCTCATAAATATAATGAAATACTTAAAAATTAATTTAGAAAAAGGAAAAAGTTATTTTGGAGGCTGTATATAAGGTCCCTCCTGACCAACCTATAATTTCCAAAGATTAAAAAATGTGCTCAGTAAAATTATTGTACAAGAACCAAGGAAAAATATTCTTAATTTTTATCATTGTAAAAAGAACTTAACCAAAAGGAGATGTATTAGGTTCTCATAATACAATGAAATACCTAAATAATTATTTTAGAAATGAAAGGGTTATACTGGAGGTTATAGTCTAAGATTTGCAGGATCCTAGATTTAGGCTCCTATTGGGCCTGCTAGATGGCAGTGTCAGGGATGTGGCAGAGAAAAACTTTATTCATTGCAGGAAGTAAAAGAGAGAGAAGCGAGGGTATCACAATCCTCTTCTGGGATGTTCTCCCAACAATCAGTGGACCTCCTGTTGGGTACCAGCCATTAAAGGTTCCCA